CAAATTTGAAGTATTTCGTAAAAACAAATTTTGAAATTGCATAATTAATTAAAAATGAATTTTTTTCTTTGAATTTTTGAGTGTTTTTTAAAAAGAAACTCCAAAATTTAAGAGATTTTTTCAAAACAAGGTAAAAATATGCAAAATTGCATTTGGAGGTGCCCTATTTGTGCTCGTTTTTATAAATTTAGAGCGTTTTTGATTGAGAAATTTACTGAATTCAATGTTTTTTTTTGCTAAAACCACATAGAAAATTGCAAAATTTGCTCTTAAATGCGTTTTTTTTTAATGTTTTTCAGTGAAAAAGTTACAAAATTGCTTAAACAAAACAAATAATCACAAATTAATTCCAAAATACTTTGTTTTCGTTTATTTCGAAGAATTTAAAGGGTTGTTTTTAACAAAATACGTACCAAATTTGAAAAAATTCGTAAACCAAATTTTGAAATTGCATAATTAATTAAAAATTTTTTTTTGCATGAGCGTTTTTTAAACAGAAACTCCAACATTCAAAACAAGGTAAAAGTTTGCAAAATTGRATTTGGAAATGCCTTATTTTTTCTTATTTTTGTAAATTTAGAGCGTTTTTGAGAGAAAAATTTACTGAATTCGGAAATTTTTTGCTAAAACCACGTAGAAAATTGCAAAATGCGTTTTTTTTTCTATGTTTTTTAGTGAAAAAGTTACAAAATTCGATATGTTTTGCTGAAACAACACAGAGAATTACAAATTAGTTCTAAAATGCCTTGTTTTTGTTTATTTCGAAGAATTTAAAGGATTGTTTTCACGTGAAATCCAGTAAATACCAAAACTAAACAAAATATTGCAAAATTAGTCCTAAAACATCTTATTTTCAATCGTTTCAACATATTTATGGCATTTTTTTACAGGATAACTCACCAAATTTCGTAAAAATAAATTATAAAATTGCAGAATTATTTAAATGTATCATTTTCTTTGAACTTTTGAATATTTTTTAAAAAGAAACTTTAACATACAAGAGATTTTTCTAAAACAAGATAAAAATTTGCAAAATTACATCTGGAAATGCCTTATTTTGTCCTGTTTTTTATAAATTTAGAGCGTTTTTGACCGAGAAATGTACTAAACGCGACAAAACCAAGTAGAAAATTGCAAAATTTGGTATAAAGTGCGTTATGAATTTGCAAAAATTCCTAAACAACAGCGAGAATTTCAAAATTAGTTTTGAAATGCATTATTTCCACCTATTTCGACGAATTTAATGGACTTTTTTACTTAGAATCCAACTAAATTTTAATTAGTTTGTCAATACAAAGTAGAAAATCGCTAAACTACTTACGAAAAACATTGTTTGCGTTTCAACGAATTTAGAGCGTTTTTTCTGAATTTGAAAAATGTTTGCCAAAAAAGGTGAAAAACTCCTAAAATGAGTTTTTCTCTATAAATTTACGTTTTTCGTTGAGAAAGTCACAAAATCGAAAGATTTAATAAAAACTGTTTTGTCACGGTTTATTTACGTTTATTTATAAACTTACGAATGAAAATGGGAAATAAATAACCAGTTTGTGGGAAAGGATTACGTTGAAATGTTGTATTATAAAGAGAGGATTACTGTCTTGCAACATGATTTTTATTAAATTCCTTTATTTTCCTAAATAAAATAAATCACAGTGACTAAATTTCCTATTCGATGTAATTTTGAATGAACAGTTTAGATTTATATTTAGACCGTGAATAGCTCCCTGCTCGTTGTAATATATGGAATCCCACACAATTTAGATAACAGCCTTTATGCCTCGAGGTTACCTAATTTGATTTAGCAACATTCTAGCCCAAAACACAAAATAGATTTAATTTCGAAAAACTCACATAAGAAATCATGGGTAGATTGAAAGCCGCCGCCATGAAGGCTTCATGTTCGCACGTTTCCTGGGGCCCCACGTACGCCGACACATTTTTCGTCCACAAATCAGCCGTTTTCTGCACACTTATCACCTCCTCTCCGTAGGTTTCGGCGACGATGAAGTCGAGTCTGTGGCCACGTTGGCCAAGACCGCCTTTGTTCACCTCATCGACTGCCAAAGATATGGCTCCAGATATGGTCAAACCAGGTCTGGGGTATTCCAAATCGCCGGGTCTCCTCTGAGAGCCGGTCAAATATCCTATTGTGAAAGTTTCAGTTGCGGTTTCAGATAATGTCATTGCGAGAATGACAAGTAGGAGCATTTCAATGACTGAAAAAAGCCGCGTTGAATTAGTTTACCTGAAAGTTTGATTTTTCAGGATATCAAAGCGGTAGGGGAGAGGATGGAAAAGGGGCCTGCTGAGCGGCTAAGTGGCACTCTGGTGTGACGCTAAGTAAGTGGTGACCTTTTTTTTTTATAGGAGCTGAAAAATAGTTCCAACAGTTAGCTTATTTAAATGCAAATGTGATTAATGGCCGCAAATACGTTCTTGTCGTTATTTTCAGATTATTTCAGCACGTAAATTCGATTTATTTAACACTGGAATTGTATTAGACGTTAGTTTCAGTGATATTACTAAGGCTCGGATTATATGCACGAAAAATTCGTAAAAAATATGCACAAAATATTAAGAAATATGCGCCAATATATGCCAAATATGCATCAATATGTAAAATTTTTAACAATAAAAAATCAAAGTTGGGATAAATTTTTATCCTCGAATACACTAAACTTTGTATTTTAGTCATCTTGAACTGCACACAATAAATGAAAGAATAAATAAATTGTTTTGGCGTGAGACAAGCCATTTTAATAACCTAGTAATTAACCCTTTCTAAAAAATCTGTACTTTTCAGATCACATCACGTTTTTTGCTTAAAGTATTTATTTTTTGAAAAAACTAATTGATGAATTATAAAATTCTATAGAAATGTGATGTTTTATCAAAAATAAAAT